TGCTTGAAATCCAGGTCCTATGGGGAAAATTCGAGTAAAAATTCGATATCTCAGCAACAAAGCTGATTGCGCACGAACCAAGTTGGGATTCTTCATAGTTCATGTGGGTCTAAATTTTAAAAATAGTCCCACTCAAAAAGGTTTTTAGCACCTCAGGAGGTTCCCTCGTGAGCTTCTTAGTTTAAGTACATTGTGTGACATGTGTAAAAATATTTTTATCCCAGAAAAAAAAACAAAAAACACAAACATGACAAACATACAAGTAGTGATTGAGTGAGAAACAGATATCTGAAATTATATTCACTAAAAAATATGAAGCAGGTGACAAGAAAGCTGCTAACACATAATATTCACAACTATATTCACATGGCTTACCTCATCGATCTAAAAAATAGAGTAGATGGAGAAATGAAACAGAACAAGAAGTTAAAATAAATTATTTTCAATATTTAAGATGAATATCGGTCATTTTGATTTATTTATAAAGCTGAAAAAGATTGTCTTTAGGAGTCATTGCACGCCCTAATGCTCTAGACAGACAGCTTGCTCAATTTTCGTTTTTGAAACTTAATTCTGATTTTGCCAATTTGTAGTCTTACTAAAGTTGAATATATTCTGAAAGTTTTAGCCTATAGGGATGTTTCATTGCATGGTCGATCACACAAAAAGTCATTAATGCTATGGAATTGAGTGATGTGGGAAAAATTTATTCCTGACCAATGAAACACACACTCCTATAGGCTAAAATTTTCAGAATATACTCAACTTTAGTAAAGCTACAAACTGATGAAATCAGAATTAAGTTTCGAAAAAAATAATTGAATACGCTAGGTCACCGCTATTGTGCAATGACTCTTAGGAGGTTTGTTCTTACTAAAACTATGTAAAACATGAATTTATTATTTTATTTATTTCATGTATTTTCTTAATCGATATCTTAACCATCATTTTTAGAAAATGAACTTAAATTGTCTAGAAATAAACATTAGAAATTGAGTATATAAGATTAACAATAATTAATTAGTGAATAAAGTGTCTGATAATTAGGTCAACATCTCAAAACACATATTCCATTTTTCTTTCCAAATGACTTTTCCAATGATTGTAAACAATGTAAATATCAAACAAAGTAAAAAATGAAAAATAATGATGATAGCACATATCAGATCTGGGTGAGTTCGAGTCCGGATTCGGACTTAGGTTTGAACTAGTAGATTTTTTTTGCTGAACTCTGACTCAAATGTGAGATTTTGTATTTCGAATTCGATCCATTAACTTAAAACATAAATGAACAGAAAATTTTCATTTTTTCAATATCAGTATGGGATATATAGACGCACATGTGTCACACTCTTTAAAAATAATGATTCCTACAGCAGCTTGTTTAAAAAAGAAATATAAATAACGATAAGGAAACAGTTTTTAAAAACTATCGGACTAAAAATAGACTCAGATTCGGACTCGACACACCTCTGGACACGCCCAGCCCTGGCACATATATCTTCTAATCAGAAAACATAAAGTAAAAAATATGTCGAAGATTATTAAGTATATATTGCTTATTCAGATTTTTGTTTTCAACAGACTCAAATATAAAATGACTCATTTTCACCGTTTAGCTAAAAGCCAAGATACACATTGATCTAAGTGATACTTAATGTCTCATATCAAGATCATTTTCAATTTTTTTTATGAACATTCTCTCATGTATCAATCTAAGACTAAGAAATCGGTATCTCTTTTTTATTTATTATATGTCTCATTTTATCCGTAATATGTATTCGTAACATTCCACTGTCTCTGTGTGGTTTATTTTTTTCTTTCACAATAATGTCACTCCTTTGTAAACAATTATTTTTGCACGAGTTTTATCACCAACATATTCCGGGGTTTTTTCTTGTTCTAATTTTTCTCTTGCTCTCAATTATTCGTATGTTTTTTTGGTACTTTTTTCCATTGAAAAGAATATTAATAAGCATGTTGTTGTAGGAAGCACGTTTGTTTACCATTTCATAATCAATTATTCGTTCCATTATTAATGTTCAAGTGTGAAACGTAGTTTATTGCGTATATATGCTAGCCTTTTTTTTTAGCTATTTACCAATACAAAAGGTAATAATGTAAAATTTATATGAGTACTGTCACATTGGAATTAACTGATACTAGCGGAGCCAATAGTGGTTCAACAATCGATACAAGTCATGAATCATCTCTTGTTATTATTGATAGCGATGAAGAGGATACAGATAAAAATGATAAGAGAGTAAAACCCAACAATGTAACAGTGAGTAATGGTTTTCTATTATTATCAACAACAACAACATCGTTACGAACACCAAATAGACAAACCTCATTTTGTCATAAATATTGGCTAATAAATAAATTGATTATAAAATCAATAATACCAGATATTAAATCATTTAAATTATGGCAAATTATTTTGTTACTTTTATTTGCTGTAATTAATGTGACATTTTCCATATTGGTAAGATCAACTTTCGAATTATTGTATTCTTTCTAAACAATTAACTTTTATATATAGGATTTTAATTCATTTTTTGAACAACATAAACAACGATCTATTTTCAAATGGTCGAATGATTTAAGTGATGGTATTTCATTATGGAAACGTATATTACTTTGTTTTAGCGGTATAGCTTCGTTTACGAATGTTGTCAGTGTTGTACTTGTTATTAAAGGTAAATTATCATCGTATTTATGGGGTATCATTGCGGCTATATTATATGGCATCTACTCATTTGCTTACGGTTATGTTGGTGACGCACAATTGTATGTGATGTTTTTTTTACCTATGCAATTTGTTGGCGTTTATATGTGGTCAAAAGAATTGGATTCATCATCGACAACTCGTGTTAAAAGTTTATCACGCTTTTCATGGTTAGTCGTCTTAGTTATCAGTATTGGATTAGGAGTAATATTTTACTATGAAATACCAGCATTTTCTAAACTATTGGTTGGTTCATATTCTTTTGAAGCAAAGCTAATACCACATGTATTAGATGCGACAACAAATGCATTGAGCGTAGTTGCACAATTTTTACTAATATTATGTTATTGGGAACAGTATGTCTATTGGTTAGTTGTAAATACAATGGCAATAGTTATGTATAGTGGTATGTAAATATCATCTAAGTTAAATATGTCAACTTTCAATCTGTACATCAATCCATTTTAGGTTTAATAGAAACAAAACTTGATATTAATTTATTACTCGTATGGATTATGTTAGCTATTAATTCATTATTTGGACTATATACTTGGTTTATGAGATGGAGAAGACAAAGTAGTCCCTGCGTTTATGCCACAGTTTTTAGATAAAAAGTAAATAATGATTTATTCCACGTGTTGTACATATATTTTTCTCTTTTTTTCTTTATACTTCTATTCATTTCTGTTTTCTGTTGATACTGTTTTTCTTTTCTACGCTCTTACTATTTTTGTACAATCAAGATTTTTGTACACAGAAAGAAAAATACGTATTTTTCTCTCGCACAAACAACATATCCATAATTGTCACTAATATATTACTCCTTTCACTTATAAAATATAGACGTAATGTCTGTCATCCAGAACCTTCTTTCTGATGCTACGGTTATAACAAAATATACACACAGAGAAGCATGCACTGTTTCGTACGTACTTGTTATGTCGACTTATTTTAAATTTTTGTAGTGCTCGTTTAAATCCCATTCGTTTTGCTAATGGTTTGGGTTTTTTATCATGATGGGTAATTTTAATCGGTGTTATAGTTGATGGAGTTAATTTGTCTATTGTTTCATCGTTGTCTAATCGTTGTTGTGGTTGATGATGTTGATCTGGACTATTCGATGATGATACTGGCGATAATGCTGTAGGAACAGATATAGAATGTTGAGTGATTGGTGATTGTTGTAGTTTTGAGCGTATCTCTCGTTCATAGAGACTAATATCATGTCGTTTTTTTCTATTAGGAGATTTTTCCGGGTTTACAATTTCATAAAAACCTGAAACAAAAACTGATAATAAAATAATTTGTTTGACGATCAAAATATAACTTACCCATAAGATTATTTTTCACTGTTAATGAAAGATGTGTAGTACCACGAAGTATTTCTAGAGCACGAACATGTGATATATAATCAAAATTTTGCCCATTAACACTTAATATCTGAAAAATACAATTTAGAAGCTAATAATAACAGAAATAGAAAATTAAAAATACTTACTTGATCTCCTCTTCGAAGTCCAGCATCAAATGTTTTCGAATTTTTTTCGACCTTTGATATATAAATTCCATTATTTGACTGTTCGGTACCGCCCAAAATTTGAAAATTTAATATATCATCACGCGTTGATCGTGTTAAAATGATCGTACGAATACTTGCTTTTGTATAACAAGCAAGATTAAGTAATTGGCGCCAAGAACGCATATACTATAGAAATACAACATCTTATCATTATTTATCTTTTTAAAGATAATAAACATACTTCTGTTTCATAATGTTGTAAACGTTCATCGAATATTTCAAGAAATTCACTCAATCTTGGATCTGATTCAAAATCATTAAAATGATTATTCACCCAAGATAAAACAACGCGTGCAACCTAAACCAGATAGAATATTAGTTATATATTTACTGATTATGTTATTCATCCCATATTTCAAACGTACTGTCTTCGAATCATCATGTCGCGAAAGAATTCTGCGTCATACTAGGCGTCTATCTAGAGCTGTGGTTTACTGACCAGTAACGAGATGGGTGACAATGTCAGATGTGGGAAAGATATCGGGCTATTAAAATTGACACTTGTCAGCACTCTACATCGGTAACAGTAGCTGTGAGACGGGGTTTTCTTCGTTATTCTTCCTTTCTAGAAATAGGCAGAGAAAGTTCAAATATGATCCTACCTTTTCGCTATGCTGCGGGGATTCAAACCATTCGAGTAATTTCTGTGTAATCTGAGTAGGATCACTAATAAATGTACGATAAGTAAGAAAAAAATCATCAACATAATTTGGATCGTCTATTGTTAATTTTTCATCGATTAATAAATCTATTAGTTTATCAGGTTTTCCCTAAAAAAAAATTAAGAAGTATAAAAATAATGTCATAACAGATGCTGTACACTTTCGAGGGATGATACCTTGATAACTACTTCTCGATGTGCACTTGTATCTTCATATCTTCTCAATTCTTTAATCATAACAAGTTTTTGATCTTCTTCAATTTTTCGTATATTTTTTTCTCCCTTTTAAAAATAACAATAAACTTTATGAATATTTTATCTAATGAAATAATCATGACAAAACTCTTACCTGATGTAATATTCCATAATAATCATTTTGAGCAACAACAACAAATTGACAATCGTCTACTCTAGTTTTCATAATACCTGTATGACAATATTGATCTAATGTCGCTTCACAACCAAAACTAAACAAAATAAAATTTATTTAAATATTATATAATCTTTAGCACATATTCATTTTTTTACCATTGTCCAACAGTTAATGTTCGTATTATTTGTCCATCAGTTGTTTCATCATCAACAATACCATTAATGATAACGCTCCAAGAATCATATCGTTCACCATCATTCATAACAACAGTATTCGCTTTTTCAACTTGAGCATATATCAATACTTTGCATAATTCACGACGAACATGCAATGTTAAATTAACAAATGCCTAAATAAAATTAATATTCAATATAAGATTAAAATTTAATTAAATATTAGACTAAAATAACATACGGGAAAATGTTGTAAAAATTCTAAAATAGCTTCAATATCATCTTCTGTTCGTTCACTTGCTTCTTTCATTAATGATTCACGTATATTATCATGAACAGGAAATGAACGCTAGAAAATAATGAAATAAGATGGATTAGATAAATAAATCTATAAAAATTGACTTTTCTTACTTCAGATGATCCTTCTGATTCATCATCACTTTCGTTCATACTTAAACATCCAGGTATTTCATCTCCATTATCAACAATATCTTCACCAGTCGTTGATAATTGCATAACATCTGATCCAGAATAGGCACTTGATGTATCACTTGCACGAGAATGAGTCATTACTGAATGACTTGTTGGATGAACAATATCAGTGGTAGTATCGATTTCATTTGCAATTTTTCCAATATGTTGTTCTGTATCTGATTGCTAAATAAAATAAAATAAAAAAGAATATTAACCATTGTCTGAAACAAAAAAGAAAAAAGAAAAAACGGAAATATTTGTTGTATACTTTTTAGTATCTCAGGTGTATTATACAAAAAAATGGTATGAATAATAATAAATTGTTCCATTGAGAAATGAATAAATTTAATCAAAACGTTGAGAATAAAACGAAGCATTTACTACCTGACGTATTCTTGCATTTTTACGTCGATTAACAATAACGGGAACAGATTGACAAGAATCTAATGATGGTGATTGTTGTTCGATTAAATGGTGCGATGGTTGATTTAGAGATTGATTACCACTATGATGACCGTGAAATGAACGATGTTGTTTTGTTCTTAATACCGAATCGTATTTTTTTATATGTTGATCAACATCCGGATAATCAATCTTTTAAAAATAAAAATAAAATAAAATAAAATATATATATATATAAATATATTTCTTTTTTCTTTTTTTTTTTGTATACATCATTTGATTTATCACTTACAACTAGCATTTCCGATGGTTCTAATACTAAACAATCATGTACACGAAATTGATTACCAGGCGTTCTTTTACCAAAACTGAACAAGAAAGAAAAAAAAGAAAAAAATAGAAACGATTATGTCATTATTATGTACGTATATGTATGTGCTCATCAAAATAAATGCTTCATTCAAACTCATTCATGTTCAAGGATATTAATGATAGGTAAAGAAGAAAAAAAAAAACGAACGAACAAGGTTAACAAATAAACATAACACAAAAAAAAAAAAAAAATACGAAAATTTGTTGTATAACTAGAAGACAGAGAAAGAGAGAGAGAGAGAAGAAAAATAAACGACTCTTTTTCATCTCATTCGTCTTTAATGTAACAAATAAAAGATTAAATACCTGAGATCATGACCAGGTTTTTTAGGTCATCAAATTATTATTGTTATTATTATTATTATGATGATGATGACTCGTCATTTTAGCGTACGCTAGATGTTTTTCATATTTATCTAATTGTAGTTAAATTATCCAACAAAATCTTGACAATATGATAATAGATCATTCATTTATGACTACCTAACAAAAATGAATCTTACAATATATTATTAAATTCAAACGACTCATGAGTTTATAATATACACTATAAGGTGAATAGAATCTAAGAACGAAAAAAATAAGTGCATCTTCGTTTTTTTTGTTTTTTTTCTCGCGTGTGATGACTACAAAAGATATTTATAAAGGATGAAGAAAATATACTCGTTTCAAAATAGAATATTGACCAAACTAAATACTTTTTTCTCTTCTAATCTAAAGTGAAGACAATGCTGATGAGAACAACGACTCTTTCTTTATATGAACAAAGAATATGTACAAAAATGAAGATAATATTTGTTTATAATTTTGACAAAAAAAGAAAAAAAATCTATGATAAAAATAATATTTTCATGCTCACTTTAATCAATATTTCAATTATAGAGAATTTTTGTTGAATAAAAAAGAAAAGACTAGAGTGAATTCAATCAGAAGAACTTTGTAAATTGCTCATATTCATTCTTTTAAATACTAAACACTCCAGTTCTAAAGCTTGTCAATATTTAACTTCCTCTGACTACGCATAATCTTCTTACTTGTGATTTGAAATTATTCTAAGTCTTTTTCTTTTTTGTTGTTTTTTTTTTTTTTTGTTCATTGTAAAATAGTCTTGTTCTCTCTACCTCTGACATAATATGTATTTAGACAACAAACGAAACGAAAGTTTGAATAAATTAAAAAAAAAAGAACAAGAGGTTTTAATAATAACAAAGAGAAGAACAAAAGTTTTCTCACATACACATATAGAGAGATAGACTTATTTTTGAGAAAAAAAAAATTAAAACATTACCTTGTACGAGGTAAGAACATTGTCGATTCAATAAATACAGAGCCCGATAATAAAATATACCAACATGTGTTCAACTGACCACGACTAAAACAAACAAACAAAAAAATATGAAATATAAGCTGATTTCTTAAACTATTAAGCAAAAACTCCATTAATACACTAGAATTTAGAACTATAGTCTTTTACATACCAAATTGTAATATGAAATAGAATTAATAAGATTTTTTAAGTAAGATATAGATAGACTTTAGAGGTTTTATTAAATAGATAAAAACGGATTGACAATAAATATTTTCTTCATCTTTCGTTGTATAAATACGATATTATAAGTTGGAAGAAAATAGGCTTGAAACAAAGTGTATGTACATGTTTTTTAGTATGTACAGAACGTGTGTATCAATAATGTAAAAAAAATAACGAAACGGCTTCCGTATTTCTCTCTTCTTACTCTCTCTCGTTCTCTCTCGTTCTCTTTTTTCCATCTATCCATTATCTACACACCTTTTTGTATTGCAACTTACTTTCATTTTAGATCAATAACACTTTATTTCTACACAATGAAAGACAATACTACTTATACTCCATGTAGTACGTGATTGATACATAAACAGAGTTCCTTTTTTCTCTCTCAGAAAACAAATATACTGTTAAGCCAATTTTACAATTGTCAGTTGAGAAGGTCAATAGTTTACGATATTAAAAATGAGAAAACTTTTCTTTTTTGTTCAAAAATAATTTCTTATAATAATGGATAGAGAGAGAGAGAGAGAGAGACAGACAGAGACTGATCCACAAATTATATATATATTTTCTTTCTTCTTTTGAACATATGAAATGATTATTTTTTCTTTTTAGTATTTTTGAACAATTTATTAAATTATTAACGCATGAAAATATGAATAAATTGATATTTAAAACTAACTTATCAAGTACACAGATAGATATAATAAATATAAGAGAAGAGAAAAAAATAAAAAATAAAGATCACACCACTTTGATGATACTCGGTTAGTTTGTTTGATCTATATATCCTGTTGTGATAACAGTAGACATAGACATAATAAGAAGAAGAAAAAAAAAAAAATTGAAAGAACAAAAATTTTTGCCTTGAAAATCAAAAAAAGAAAAAAATGATGTATTATTCAAGGTCATGATTTTATAGAATATATATTTATATATATATATACATCTTTTTTTGACACTCATATTTTTAACCGCTATAATTGAGCATCAATAAGATTTAGTTTTTATGAAGCCCAACAAATGTGTAGAGAGTACTTTAATAAAACTGACATTTTCTGTTTATAACATTCTATTAGAAGCTCTATCAATAACTGATATAGAGTATTATCGTTGAAATAGAAATAACTAAACAACAAATAGAATTTCTTTTGATCCATTGTGTAAAATTTTAGTTCTACATACAATAATTTTAATAAGTATCGATATTTTTTTTAAACACAAAAATCGTTTAGACAAATAGATTATAGTAACAAAAACATCGTTTTTTTTTTTGTGTGTTTTTTTTTATATCCTTTTCGATAAAACCTGGTCAATCGTTTCTATCTTATCTATTATCATTCAGTAGTTGAAAGTGTGTGTGTGCATATGTATGTGACATATTTGCTATTCTTTGACTTGAATCGACCACCATATTTGATATGAAACTATTTATTTTATCAAGTAAGAAAGACAAATTTATGTAAATGCCAAACAGTAATATGTCTACCATATGCTTCTATTCAAATACATCAACCATAATGATTTCAATTCAACTAATTACCTTTACCGGAAAGGTACGAATATTTTATGTTTTTTTTTTTGATTTTTTTTTTTTTTCTTTTTACACTTATATTTGGAAATATGAAAATAATTATGATTTTTCTTATGGTCAAGAAATTGTAACAGTATAATTTATTTGATATGTGTGTAATCTAAATCATATACATATATATATGATCAAGATTTTCTTTTCTATCCATAGGATCTATCTCTATTTGACATGTATATCATCATTATCATTATTAACATGGAATAGAATAATCGACATTAATTCATTGTTTTCTCTTCATTGATAGTTGACCGTGACAAGTCTGATTATGAATCGTTGATTGCATAGAATAATAATTCAATATGTTAGAAATAGAGAGAGAGAGAGAGAGAGAGAGAAAAAAAAAAGATATGTAGTAGACATAACAAATGTAAATTGTGTTCAACATTTATTTATATGTAATCTCAAAGTTCATACAACAATTAAACAACAATGACAATAACATGAAATATTTTAATTTGATTTGTTATATGGAATAAATTAATATAAAAAAAAATAACAACAAATGTAACAAATTATGTATTATGAATTTATATATTCTATAAAAAAAAATTATTAGCGCTAGAATCATATACTAATAATTATCCAAACTATAATATTATTTTATCTAAATTTTAATGTCTAGACGTACCTTAGTTATAAATGGAATATCCTCAAGCTAATATCGGAATTTCCTTATGTTTCAACAGATATATACTTTGAAATATATTTATACCTTTACAAGAGTCTCATTATAAACAAAATTTACTCATATACATTACCATTACAAATGATGACAAAGTCCATTGGCGATAAAAGGAAGAAAAAACAAAAAAGCATGATCATTACCTGAATAAAACATGATTGGCTTCATGCACCTCATAACGTACAGTTTTACTCAAATTTCTTTTATGTGATTCGCTTAATAATGATAACGCTTCTAGGTGCTTTAGATAACCGTTGATTATTGTCAAATCCTAAAATAAACAAAGACAAAAATGTAAATAGATAATAAAAAAATCAGTCTGTGTAGGCCGATGTATCATGCATGGTTGTTTTTTAGAAATATAAAAATGAATGACACAATTAATGTTACGGTTGATTGAATTATCTAAAGGTATTTTTTCGATTGTACATACTTTAAACTAGTCGTTATTTTTGTTTTCTCTCTCTCTGTACAAACTTTTCGAAGAAAAAAATAGTTTTACTAATCCCTTTCTATTAAGTTAAGAATAGTGAACACGGGAATATTTCAATTTAGAATCATACACATACACAACACTTTTTTTTTTTTTTTGTCTTTTTTTTGTCATTAAAATATTTCAAGCATAAAGTAACTGAAAGAAAAAGAAACCTTCGGCACATTCATTATGGACATCATGCACCACATTTTTCTCGTAATGTATAAAAAGTGACTTTTTCTCTTCTTCTTCTACTTCTTCTTCTTATGGTCAAATGCTCTTTAGTTAAAAAATTGAACTTTTATATCTCTGTATAAAGTTTAAAAGAATAGAATGCTTGATGTACAAAAAGAAAGAAGAAGAAACTATAAGAGGTTTTTTTTCTTCTCATTTCTACTTCTTTTCATATAAGCCAAATCTCACATGTATGATTAACTATATGGTATAGTATTCATCGACCATTGAGAGCTAATAACAGAGTAGTAGAACAGGATATACAAAGAAAGAAAGGAGAAAGAGAATGGGAAAGGCAAAGGTGTTCCATCAACTTCTAACCAAAAAAAAAAAAAAAAAACTTTGTCATTTTGTCCATTTTCTGTTCAACTAAATAAAAACGGCCGTATTTTTCAGGTCAAAATGTTTTTTTGTTATTGAAAGGTCGTTATCGTTTCATTTATACATATTAATATAAAGAAAGAGGAGCTAATTTATTACAAATGGACAAAGAAGAAAAAGTATAATCATTAAAAAACAAATATATAATGTACAACTCTCTAAAAACAATCCATAGTTTACAAAACGAATATCGGTTTTGGCATTTGCTCCTAATAGAAACCGATATTCGTATCGTACAGTCCTGCGTAATCGTTTCGCAGAATACGCTTGAACATTTTTTGCCATTTGAAGAAATGGATTTAAGTTAAGTTTTGTATTAGAGAGAAAACGTTCAAGCATATTCTGCAAAATTTGTTAACCATTCGATAATAGACTAGCTACCAAAAAGAACAGTGTCTATATAGAATCCAGACACATTTCATTAATGATAGCAACCGTCTCTATTTTATAGTTAACAATTTGATTATATCACTTGAAGATGTTTAGAAATGATTAAATTATTATCGACATATCGACATATCGACTTACTCCAAATCAAAACGTTTTCCTATTATCAATCAGTCATCTACATAAAAAATTTATGAAAATTTTTTTTCTCCTATTACCTCAGCCATAATCAATACTCTTTTCTGTCTTGCATAATAGAACGATATAATCGAAATCTTCTCTCTTATTTAATAAACTATTGCTTATAATATATACTGATGAATCAATCATCAAGAAATGTAGCTTTATGTTATTCATCATTTTTTATTGAGAGATGAAATATGACATCAAAAAATTAGTAGTTTATGTGTCTTATTTGAACAGATTTTGACGTTTTAACTGTGAACCATCATTGTTAACAGAGACGGCGGAGCCATAGGGGCAATGGAGGCCTCGATCCCACAGCTCTAGAGGCATTAGGCACTAGGCTGTGAGATGATGTAAGAATACTCTGATAGTTTTCGTTAACTTTACAGGAAAAAAAAATCCGCTCTCACAGCTTTCAAACCATTCCGCCGTCCCTGACTGTTAAATAGTCTCTACGACAAACAGAAATGTTTTTTCTAGTTTTTAAGTAAAAAAAGTGGTCGAAATCGAATAATAAAAAGTATCTTTAGTAATTTCAACGAAAAATAAACCAGTTATGACCGATGATTCAAACAAAAGTCAATCTGTTTGATAGTACATTTAATAGATGATGTTAAAAAAGACCTAGTGTTATTAAAAAATGTACTCTAATTATATTTTCTTTATAGAAAATTTTTTGTCGATTTTTCTTTAGGCATCTCATGTTCTCTCTCTCTCGCTCTCTATCCTTCTCTGAGTTATATTTAGACATAATACATATATACTTACCTCCTATTATTTGTACAATTTACGTAATGATAATAATCACGACAGGAGGAGAAAAGGGGGAGAAAGAAACAGTAATTTATATACTGTTACTGCTACATTCTATACATTTTCATCAGGTTAAAACAAAAAAAATAATAGAAAAGAAGATGGAATTGTGTGAACACTTGATCTTGTTCGCAATATTGTTATTATGTCATTCAAAACATGCAATGTTGATAGAAATAAGGTTAAACAGCTAATTTGATAACACTTGAAGCACAATGGCACGAATTAAAATAGAGATAACCGTGATAATTTTTTTGTTATTTGATTTGATTAGATCAGTATTTAGTAAAATTCCTATAGACGATATAGAACTCACTCATTCCTAACAAATACAAAATGTGGTTTTGCATCGTAGTCAAATATAAGATATGAAGAAGAAAAAAAACTCATTTTCAATTCATAAAACATCGAAACTATACAAAATGTTTGCTTATGGTTGTAATATAACTACAACTCTTCTATTGAAAGTCATTAACTCAGCACACACACACACACAAAATTTTAATTGACCTTTAAAACAGCAATAAATACGATAATGCGTTGAATTGTTGGATAATTCACTTATTTCAGATATCTGTTTACCACCTATTTTATTGAGAAAAGTTCTTTATCATGTTAGTGTCAAACGTTGCACTCTGTTTTCCAATAATTCTCCTCGGCATGATTTCTCTAATTGAATGATCAAATTTAAAAAATAATGTACAAGATGTACAAAGATCAACATATTCAGATTAGCTCTTTCACAAAGACATGAAGTTAAAGAAAAATGGTTATCTTATATAAAATGTAAGCAACTTGTTTCGGTCCCATGGTAAACCAAACTATTTTTTGAAATTTTAGTATTATCCACTAAATTGGATTATTAATGTTCTAAAAAAATGTGTTATAGTTACAGATAATACGAGGATCTATGGATTATTACATTTATAAATCAGAGCATATTTATGAGAGAAAAAACATCTAGTTAGCTCACTGATTTCAATTTCAAAATATACAAATGAGTGATTAGTTTTACCTGTGCAGTTCTTTCTGACAATATTTTCATTACACTTTGTCGAAATGAAATATCAACATAAGCGGGTGACATCGAATTTTGATACATTTTTGTTTTTGTGGGTTAAATAGTTAAAATTAAACAATTGATACGTCGATATAGAAGTTAACCTTCACATTTTTATTAAAGAATAAATTGTACGTCTGTCGTCGATGCACATTATTCAAGAAATACAACTTCTTGGTCATTGTTGTAAAATGAGAGGATGATCTAAAATAGAGAATAAAAAATCAAAATCTATTTCACTTTTTAAAAAAAGTTTTATTGTTAAGTTAAAGTAGAGATGATCCTCGAATATTTTACACAAATGTAATTGATATCAATTAAAATTTTGAATAAGTTCGTCGACTCAGTTATTCTACAGAATAAAATGATGCAAAAAAAAAAGGAAAGTAAAAAAAAGACTTTTTTATCATTGTCCATTTAGGAAATGTGGTATAATACTTCACTTCTACAGATTTCACTATTTCAGACAGATTATTAAAGTATCTTTTATACTAGTTGAATAATTGTATTGTATTTCTCTTAATTTGAGTGTTCATACTGTTTTATGAATTCAACTAACGATATGAAATAGTTTCTTACATTAGTATTTTAATCAGAAACACCGTTGAACTTTTCAAACGGAAATGGTTACAGTAATTGTGTGGTCAGTTAAATGAAAAAATTTTCTTAAACATGCTCATTCGATGGTTCAAAACAAAAGAAAAAAGAGAGTACCATATTCAATTTAAAAATTTACACAAAAACATAGTTATTTAAATGAATGAATAGTTTGTAAAGCCATAAAAATTGTTGACTATCTACAATGACAATAACAGTTCAACGATTACAAAAAAAAAGAAAAATTACGTAATAATTACTTCATACCATGTTCAACTTTTTAAGACTTATTAAGAGAATTAATGAATAGAAGAAATATGTATTTTAAAAGTCTTTTACTCTCTAATATACTTATTGATGATGAAATTTTATTAACATAAATTTATCATCTTTTAATCAACTGAAATAAATTTTGTTGGCGTACAACTTCTCTTAAATTCATCGAAAACCATTTTCTTTTCCGTCAATCGAAGAAAAGGTGTTAAATGAACAATATGAAATAAAGCCTATTGTAATATGATCTGTTTGTTGTAAAAAAAAAAAAAAATAATAATAATACTACAACACATAGATATCTAGTTCATATTCTCATTTTCTTTTTTTCTTTATCTCATCGAATATATAATGTTGATAGAAAATCGTATGTCTTTTCTTTTTAAAATGCACAGGCAAATATGCACAAGAAGAAAATGAAAAAAAAAAGAAAACTTTTCTTTTGAGGATTTAAGCACCCAATTAAAGTACATTTGCGTATATATCATCTTCATGACTCTCAAAAAATAGCCAAAAAAGACATTGTCTACTCAAACGTACATCAGAGTGTTGAGACAAAATGGTATTCTAGTAGAAATCTGTAGACATTTCTTGAAATTATGGTTCTTAAGATCGTGTAAGATCTTACTTTTTACGATTTTGATAAGATAATTTAAGATCTTAATTAAGATGTCTCTATTTTTATTCATCTTTCTGTTTTATTCCTACGTATATAAATGATTAACATCGAAAATACAACTGAATTTTATAACGTCATTTTTGAAGACTAATCTATCTAGAGTGTACAGCGCAAGTTAAAGTCCTGGAATACTTGTCTAAAAAAATGAAGCTTCAAGTCTCTATTCAACTGCAGTTTTTGTCACAGTGGACAGCAGACTCACATTAGAATTTGGTTATGTAAAAGAAATTCACTAGAATCTGGACAGGATATTCAAAAATTGTTAGTAAATCATGAATCAATTAACTTACTACAAAATATAATAGTTCTTACTATATGCATAACAGACTCTCACTCCATCTTAAACAAAATCTTAGCCAAAGAAACCTATATGTTGGTAAAATCTTACCCTTTGTGCTCTGGTACTTAGACAACTACTTGGTCAAGTAATGTTCAGAATATTCAGATCTTACTAAGATTTTTTTAATGAGGGAACATTTCCAGGTGATCATCTTTATTTTTTACGATATTAAGTCAGTTGGTAGAGGATAGCGTCCTAGTAAAAACTCTAAAAGGATATGACTCTTGTTGCTTGTTTCTAAAGTTATGAGTTTTTTGTTTGATTTGCTCGTACAAGGATATACAGCAATACTAAGAATTTCATGGCTCGGTAAAAACAGTGAGATAAGGGTTGAATTTTTTTTTTCTATAACTATTCTAACGATCTGCTAATAACACACAAAGTTTCATTCTTTCAACTCTTTTATTGAAAGAGTCATGGAATTTTTACTTAGTTAAGGAAAACCATGTTTTTCAAAACAACATACTATAAAAGTCGTAATAATGACGTATACATTGATAAAGTATGAAGAGGGCGAATGAACTGCACAGCTGGTAGAAAGGAAACAAAATAATACTCATTTGACAAAGTTAATTAGATTGTGTTTTCTCTTTTGGTTCAGAACGTCTTTGTTTGTGAAACAAATATATACGACACATGTGATCGATTACGTAAAAAATAAATATATAACTGAAGAAATACTATTGTTAAGGAAAATCGAAGTAAAAGTTCTATAATTCTTTCAAATAGAAGAATTGAAAGAATGAAACTTTGTGTGTTATTAGCAGACCGTTAGAATAGTTATAGAAAAAAAAATTCAACCCTTATCTCACTGTTTTTACCGAGCCATGAAATTCTTAGTATTGCTGTATATCCTTGTACGAGCAAACCAAACAAAAAAATCATAACTTTAGAAACAAGCAACAAGAGTCATATCCTTTTAGAGTTTTTACTAGGACGCTACCCTCTATCAACTGACTTAATATCGTAAAAAATGAAGATGGTCACCTGAAAATGTTCTCGTAAGATCTTAGATAAATGTCAGTGAAATCATGAAAGACTTAAAATGCGAATATCCTAAGATTTTAACTAGTTTTTAGTAAGTTTCTTACTATAATAGCAGAGCAACTGTTTATGGGAATAGTTTAAACAAGTAAAAATCAAATTATCTCACTCACTAGACACTCTGTAGTATTTAGAACGTTCTTGTTTACATTATTCAAATGAAAAAAAATGTTAAGAAGACAAAGGATGATTTAATAGAGAAAACGAAAGTAACAATGAGTCAGTAAGTATTTGTATTAGAATAATAAATATTGATGGTATCCTACTATTGATGCTAAAATTGCACACTGTTTTTCTTATGATAAAAAAACTTCTAAGAGACAAAGAAAAGAATGTGATAAGAAAAATTTCCAGAAAAAAATCAACAATTTTTTTAATAATAATAAAAGTATAATACACGCGCGTGAGTACAAGTCTAAATCAAAACAATACGTAAAAGTTTCAATAGAAAAAATTTCAAAGAGCACATGTTTACATGTCAGAGACGTATGATGGCCACTACGGTATAACTATTGTAGAACGAAAGGGATTTTTCAATAGAATGTATGGTAAAATACAGTTTAACATATTTGTTAACAATTATCGATAACATCTCTGAGAAAAAAGTATTCTGTTAGTAAAATGATCTTAATGGTTGTAATAGTTACATTATCAGTGGATGTTACCTATTCTCTTTCAAAAAAAAAGAAAAAAAATCAATCACATAACATGTTACAAGCATCTGTGATTTCATTACACCGTAGAAAAGATAAATATGTACTACAAAATTAATTAGTAATGGAAGAGAATGATTAAGAAAAAACGTATAAATAATAATCTCACATCTCATTTCAAACAATAGAACAAACAATTTTTTCTTCTTGTTTTAATCAAAGTGACAAGCACAAAAGCAAAATATTGCTAAAAACAGTCTAGAACAAATGATTTATAGATCTACAAGATTATAACTTCACGACTTGAATAACAACAATCAAAATTAAAAAAAAAAAACGGACTGATTAACTTTAACGCATTTTACAAACAAAAGAATTATCAACTAAAATAAATAGTTATCGAACATATTTATTTGCTTTTTTTCATTTTTATAGATTTGTCTATACTACTTAGTCATCACGTTCTCTTTCTGTTTCGCTCACTAAGTGACACAGGATACAAATAGTTATTTTTTATTATATTGCATTCATTTTTCTCTTATTTTGATCTTTTTTTTTTTTTTTCAATAAAAATAGATTAAGTAAAATTATTAATACGAACGAGTGAATAAAAAATAAAAATATTCTCGGTGATGAAAATCTCTTTTTTTTTGCCATATACTGTTGCCTGTAGGATGATAATGGATTAAAAGTTTTAGTTATTAAAAAATTTTTCAATTTCGAAATGCATAACGTCTGTAGGTGATATAATTTTGATTATTGTTCTGTTCAGTATGTCTCGATTCGATAAAAGAATAGAAGTTCTGTTTTCTTTATTTTTCTATTCAAATTTCAATAGATCTGTTCAACAAACAATTATATATAAATAAAAAAAAAAAATTTAACCATACTCTACGGAGATGGCCAAGGATAAATTTATTATAGAGGTATTAAAATAGTGAGAAAAACCGAATGATTTAATCAAAATAAACAAACAAACAGGTTCATAAAAAAACAAAAAACACACGAGTAAAGCTACGTTCATTCAATTTGAGAAAAAAAGTTCATTATCGAAAACGGAAAGGATTCAATGGAAATATTAAATATTATAAAAATCTGACTAATGTGTTATATTAGTCGTATTACTACAATTCTGTAATAAATTATCTCATTCGACTTTTCCCTGTGAAATCCCGAACAAGACAATGAGAACTTTCCGTCTACCTTCAAAATATATTTTATTTTTTAGGTAAAAAGTGATGCAATTCTCAGATCGGGAGAAAATAAATTAAAAAAATAGTTTTCTTCGATTAAAATCAAATAAATCAATTGATTTCGGTTAATCAAATTAAATGTAAATAAATAAGTGAACTGGTGAGTGAATAAATAAATTTTTATATCAAATAATGAAGACCTGACATTACTAGTCAATCATCATCTTTCAGGGTAAAGTGGATTGAGTACTGATCCTCTTACTCTAAAAGAAAACAGAAAGAAACAATAAATGAATAGAATAACATATTTCTCTTTGAGCAACATCATTTCTCTTTAACAGATATTAAGAATTACAACTGAAAACAGCAACTTGCTACACGAGACATGAAAAGCTATTTATGTTTTCTTACTCGGAAGTCCGTTGTGTCTCAAGGATGAGAGACATGGTAGAGAGACTGCGATAGTTTAAGCAACTGACGGCACGTCTCCTGTATTGAAAATGGCTGACTATAACCCAAATTCTGTCATTTCTTTCCTCTGGTACAAACACAACCGAACGCTAATCGATTTTTCCATCAAGGATTCCCTAAAGAATAATAGTATGTCGAAGGAATGAGACAGAGCGTATTTTATCGTCTAGAAATTACTCTCTGTCTCTAATAGACCTTTCGCGAGTGTCTCGCAGGATTTAAAAAAAAACGGCTAAATTCGACAAGACAGAAGTCTGATTTTTGATTTCGCTCTTCCCGAGCGAAATAAAGAAACATCAATAGCTTCCATCGAATGAGAATACACCCAAGGAAAAAACTACTTATGGATGTATAAGTGAAATAAGTTATTTGTCCACTTAATCACTTCTCAACTTATTCAGAGTTCTATTTCTATTCCTCAGTATCGCGGTGTACTTTAAATATCCATTGAGGTGCTGCAAATTCTTACAACGTATAATTAATAGAAAGGGAGTTGGGTATGCTTGTAATCAGAACAGAATAAACTAACAGCTTTTTCCGATTCATCATACACACAGACGTGAAAAGTTATACAAGAAAAAAGATTATAAAACAGGATAAAATCGTTAATAAGGTCTAAATTTTACTATAGAAGAATAGTGTAGTTTTAGTCAAAATGGCCACCATGCATAGTGGACCCCAGTGACCCAAGATCTTGGGTTAAAGAATGTCACAAGATCTTCAAGATCAGAAATTTCAAGATTTTGACTGAATCCGTGAGTCAGAATGTCACAAGATCTTCAAGATCAGAAATTTCAAGATTTTGACTGAATCCGTGAGTCAGAATGTCCTCGCAATTCTATGTAAGGAAGTGTGAAATAAAACGGTGATACAAGAATTATCAAGATGTTGGTACAAGAACTCAAGATCTTGGTTGCAAGAAGTTTCACTAGAGGACAATTCGTACGTGAGATCATGTTTTACACCTTTTCCCAATTGTTAAACTTACTTTTTCATTTAATAAGTCACTTACTCACTTTTTTAGGTGAAAAAATAACCATTTTACTAGCGTTTTCACTTATAAGTATCTTTTCCCCTTGAATACACCTCATTACAATAGATCTAATCTTTTTAAATAAACCCAAACATTTATCCACTGTGCATAACGTACCCACCTAAAAATCCCCGAGGACTTCCTAGTGACTATCATTCGTTCTTCCTACTCTATAAAACCCTTGACTCTACCCCCCTAGGAATCACCAGGGATTTTGTGAATTTTCTGAGGCTCATCGGAAATTTTAGTAGGGAAAGTCGACTAGGGTTGTTCAATGTCAGTAATAAAGGTGTAGTACCGATAGATTGTTGTGATTAACTGTCGTGCGTTTGAGTTTCAATGGACGTCGAAGAATTTGACGATGATATCATATTTGATTGTAAAGATGATGAAGCAAAAACAAAGTTTATATCGTTATTTTTCAAAAAATTCACATCGATTGTGTAAGGAGATGATACAGTTGTTTGTTGGGGTTGAACAATCAGATATGGAAGTGTTAATGTTGCTGGATGATGTTGTTGAATTTCAGTATCCGATCGTAAAGACAAATCTTGTGCTATTACTGGTATAGTGATGGCTTCGTTTTTATTAGTTTTTTGAATCGATGGAGTAGAATCGGTCGTATCATTTTTAAAGCGTTTTCGAAACCGTCGAACTTTTGGCGATGGTATAGCCTGCAAACTGATTGACGGAGTCTCTGATGGTTGTGCTCGTTCACATATATTTACTATTGAAGTTTTTTCAGCGGTGTGAATGTTGTTTAGAACTAAACAAAGAAGAGAAACGAAACATAAACTAAAAAATACACTAATTTTTTTTCATTAGTTAGAATTGTAAAGTAACACAGACAAAATAATTTTTTTATCCAAAGAATTTGAAGTGGCTCGAAAGAAGCAGAAAACTGTCGCAATTTTAACTTACCATCATTAGTCACATTCGTCTCTTTATTCGATCGATTTTTAATAGGTTGATCAATAATAATGACGTCGTTGTGGGATAATGCGGTGCTTGTCGATGATGATGGTGTTTTATAAAATAATTCAACTTCTTCATAATCTACTTCATCTCTTGTATTTAAATTATCACTACCAGCATCTTCTTCTTCCGATGAATTATTCAAACATGTCTGTATCAAAGCTTTACCAGCTTCACTTGTGATCATTGGCTGTAATTTTCTTGTGGCAAATGTATAGACATGTCCTAGAAAAATATCAGTTAAAAACTACGCTAATCTAGAAAATATTTTACAAACCTGTTTCACTAGCGACCAGTAACATTACTTGTGTACCAGTTAATGTTGCTAATTCATAAGCTTTTTTCATGATTCCAGTTTTTCGTTTACTAAATGTTGTATAACGTCGTATTTTGTTTTTGATGAATTCCATATTAATTTTAACACGTCCACGAGTTTTCTTACTATTTACTTTATTTTTCTGAACACGTTGCGTTGTTCTGACTATGAAATTGTCGTTTCCCATCTTGTTATTTGTGGTACTGCTGTCATCAATATCATCCTCGTAATCGTCCTCGTCAGATGAAGAAGCTGATTGTAAATGATAAACTGGTTGTCGGCGTTTTAGACCTGTTGTATTTCTAGAAACAATTTGTATATCATTTTTAATCATCGTTGTTTTTTTTAATTATCTTCTGAAAATGATAGAAAAGATATTTTGTAGACAAATGGAGATTTAGAGTTAGCTTCATAGCAAATCAACAGTGTTTCTAGTAATAAAGTGTATCGACACTTTGTAACCGGAACGGTCCTTTAACGGCCAGTTAACGGTCATCTACTGCACGTTAACGGGGTAGAAATGACCTAGAAACGGTCCATTAATGTCACTGTAAACCGACCGTTTTGAGAACGTCAATCAATGGTCTAAAAACTGATATAACCAGGTATAATCTGTGATGTATATAGTGTACGGACCATTTTGCGGAGAAGCCATTTACCTTTTTTACTTTGCTAGCTTACTACTAGTATATATGCAACGCTGACTTTCTTCGAATAACTTAGAATTTTCCTTTCCTCGTATATACAAGTCAATGAAACTTGTTTAGAGGAGGTGACTATTTGTCTTGGGCTTAATACTAAAAAAGAGTAGTGTGATCCTAGGATTGGTACTAGAAATGACACTAAGAACCCAAAAAAGTAAAGTATGCCACAAACAATATTTTAGACATAGCTGGTGAAAAATAAAACTTTTAAATGCAACATTCATTAAACGTTGCATTAACGATGAAAAACGTCTGTGAATAAGACTGGAAACAGATCGTTATTTGATCGTAAAACGGCCCGAGTTAAACGACGTAAAAACGGTGTAAAAACATGACGTTTATGATCGATTAACCGTCAGTTAACGACCTGTTAACCGCATCATTTTCACGGACCTTCAAAAATGAAGATCCATCTTGTTTTTTTGCCATGAAACCTAAATGTGCTTTGAACCTTTGAACTTTGTTTTTTAACGTAACTTTTGTGAATTTGAATAAAAATCAATCTTAAATTATCAGTATTATACTTAAAACATTTCAACAACAAAGAGAAAGTAGTGGTTTCTAAAGCCCACAACGTGCTTTTTGTCATATTGCTTAAACACTGCTGTTGTACTTACTTTTAGAGCAAAACTGACAGTAGGAAAAGTTCTATATTTGTCATATTTCAGTGGCACACGACGTCAATGCTGAATCATACAAAAAACAAATCTATGTCATATGTGATATTACACACATCATGTGAATATCTTGGATGATGGTTATAGTGCTCTGATGTTAATAACAAAATTGGAATTGTCAACAATAGAGCTATTTGAAAAGTGCGACATGCTAAAATTATTGGATGAACTTCGTACGTTTCGCGATTTATCTCAACGCTAAAACAAATTAGACTCACTATTTGAAAACTTAATGAAAGATATTGAACAAAAAAATTGAATCAATCCAAAATGCTGTGCTTTCCGTCAGAATAGACACGTCGAAAACAACATCGAATAACAACATTAATTATGTTAATAATAGTTATGTGCTGTAGAATTATCCTTCGGTTAAGTACCATGCGTTTAAGACAAATAATCTATCTCAATTAAGCAATAATAATGAACAAATCTTGACACAAAAAATGATTCGAGAATCGCTTAATATCGATTATAATTTATGAGTTAGAGGCGTACAAGAGCAATCACTCAATGATGACGATCGAGATTAAATAGACCAACTGTTCGATACACACCTAACGAGGGAACATTCCCAGGTGCCCCGCTCCGATTTCGCTCGTTCATACATCATTCGATAGGGAGTCTCGAGTAGATAAAAAGCCTAAAATGATATCGGCCGACGACTCTTTAAGACCCGGTTTTCTGGAAAACCAGTTTTTCAGAAACTCTAACAGAATAACCAAAACCTTTGTTAATGAGACATGATTGTAGCCCGCGAAATTCTCATAAAAATGAGACATCTCCC